GTGAATTTCTCCAAAAAACGTGTTCACGTTAATTAATTCTGGGAACTCAAATTTTCCTTTCTTGTTCCAAGCTCACGACTAGACCACATGACAGCTTCTTTATTTAACAAATAAAGAGAAGCCTTGACTGTGCTCTGATCTGTTGAAAGCGCTTAGGAAGCGGCTTGAGCACGAAAGAAGTGTAAGGGGAAACAAGAGACGTAGTCAAGTCTTTCTCCCCACCTCCTTAGTGCTCTAGCCGCTTCTTAAGAGCTTTACAACAGAATTCACGTGGCAAATAACACGTGTGTACATAGGTGTACACGTTCCCAATAAACATGAATTTGAGAGGCCCTTATATGAAATAAATGTGGTGCTTATTCTGAACTCGCAAGTGACCCTTGAAGATAACAGAAAGGTTATTCTAAAAACCATGGCAGCTGCTAAGGTCTTTTGTATGTTGAGTCTTAAATGAATATATTTTTCGCTTTCCGTGAATCCTATCCAGAGTGTATGAGAATGTTACCACTGTTGTCTGGTAGTTTGACGTTTCCTTAAGCGATCAGCGAACCTATTCATTAGTGTGTGTAGATGATCTGCTCGGAATGTCTCGCTTGGTGAGTGTTGTGAATCTGTGACGAGGCAGATCACGCTTTCCAACCAGTAATCTGTTCTTGAACTGTTAAAATTACTTTTGTTATTTAGGATGTGTGTGATTGCTTATTTTCGTGTTTTGTCTATGCGGCCAGTTTTGGCAGAGGGAATTTGATAATCCAGCAATTAAGTTGCTAGAAATGTCACTTGTTCAGTAATTGTGAAGTTAATGCTGAGATTCGAGAGTCCTCAAATCACCGGCAAGGCTGACGATTAATTTACAGGAACTAAGCATTGCCGGTAAAGAGGTTTTCACATCTACAAACCTAATCCATTCTTCGTGCACCGGTGGTTTTTTTCACTTTTTTTTATATATGCCAAAAAATACCTCCGACGAAATGTTCTGATTCAGTGTCAGAAAACTTGTGAGAAGTTCGTAATCTGTTTAGAGCTCAGAATTCTACAACCTTCGATGGCGTGAAAATGTTTCGGTTTTCAACTTTT